TTCAGACTAGGAAAACTCAGGACAATAAAATATAACATTTCCAATACATCCATAGTGTATAGCATGTAGCAAGACAATGTGTATTACTTTTGTATAGTGCATATATTGATAGAGTTTAGAGGAAGATACAAAGTACAAGGTTAGTCTAATTTGTTTTTGCTTTTTGAGACGAAATCTTATTAGCTCAGGCTGGCTTCAAATTCACAATCCTCCTGTGTCCCCTCCCAAGTGCTGGGATTCCAGGCATGCACTACTATGTGTGACTAAAGGTTAATCTTTAAAAAATTTTTTATTGAGATTAAGTGATTACATAAATTTCACAAATTTCACAGTACTGTGGGATAGTGATAGTTAAAGTCACAAGCACATTTTAACCTTCACGAGGCACATTGTCATTATCGTGGTCTATAAAGCTATGGACTCTACAAACTTGGACACTACAGCTATTTCTTCCAAATCGGGTAATATGTATATTTCTCTCCTTTTGCTCAGTGTAAGCTGTTCCCTCTTTCTCTCTCATTCCCTCCTTCCCATCGCTGCCCTTGAGTTGCTCATTTTCATCAATGTCCATTACAGCTGATGGGCCCTTCTGTTGTATTTTTCCCTCTGTTTCCCTCTGATTCTGTGCCCTCCTTCTAGCTTTCTCAGATGTGCACATGCATAAAGGTTAATTTTATAAATGTTTTTGGTTTGCTTTCCCTTTAGAAAGTAAAGGTATTCACTCCTTTTCAGCAAAATTTTCCTTTATTATTCGTTATAGAGATCTGCTGCAGTAAGGAGCTAATTTGTGGTGGGTGAAAGCAAGTGTTAGATCCAAGCCTCTATTTCCCACCATACTTCTTGAAATTTCCACTTCATCCTTTCTACAGAAAAAATTAGATAACTCTTGAGTCTATTTTAATATTACAAATAGTCAAGTAGCATAAAAGTTGACAATTTTTAGCAAATGTTAAAAATAATCATAGTTACTCATAATTTTCAAGGTGAAAATGATTGCTTTAGGGGGAAGTCTGTTATAAAATAAAACAATATTTTCCTAAATTACTTTAGATCTTCCATGATGTCTCCTAGAAATGTAGAGGGGCTCCTTATAGTAAATAATGCTTGCCTTAATAGACAAGATACTGACTAGAACACATCCTGTGTTCACAAATAGTATCTCTATCTCAGAGGTATCTGGTTATGATTCATTAAGATTCAAACAGGCCTCAAATCTCAGGTAGTTGTCAGAAGAGGCCATTTTGGAGAGGCCTTACATTCAACTTCCCAGCAAAGGGTTACATTGAACTAAAAGCATGTTTTGGGACTGAATATGTGCATACATCTTTGTTTAGGTATCTACATATCTATCTCTATCTGCCTGTCTGTCTGTCTATATCTGTATAATGCCATACTACAAAGACCAGTAGTAAAAGGGGGAAAAGTCACCCATACCTAGATGTTGGTGGCTCATGTCTATAATCCTATATATTCTGGAGGCTGAGACTTGAGGCCAGTCTGGGCAGGAAAATCCTTGAGACTCTTATCACCAGTTAATCAGCAAGAAAGACAGAAGCACAACTGTAGCTGAAGTAGTAGAGAGCCAGCCATGAGTGAGAACACTAAGGGACTGTGCCTAGGCTCTGAGTTCAAGCCCCAATATTGGCACAGAGGAAAAAAAATCACTCATAATTGCTCTATTCTAACATGTTAATTGCTTCCATTTTCTCTTTCACTTTTAGTCCTTGCCATCATTTCTGTGTCTATAAATACAACATAGTTCAAATACTGTCTTTTTTTTTTTCACTTAACTTTATCTGTGAACACTTTTGTCCTAGGGTTATTTTGGTTGCAAGGAACATTTTACTTCATCATGTTAAATTATCTTTAACAAGTGTGTGTGTGTGTGTGTGTACAATCTTGCAGAAACCCAAGGAAGGAATGTAAGCTTTGCAGGAATTGAGCTAGGACAGGGAAAGCCATCAGCAACCAAAGCTGCTGCCAGGGGGACCTGGAAAGCCATCAGCAACCAAAGCTCCTATCAGGGGCTTGGGGTGGGTGGCAGGGTCTCTGCTGATCTCTGCATTTCTGCTGAATTATCAGAAATTCCATTGTATATTGCCCATCACAGTTACCCAACCTATATGACCTTACACTTTTGGAGATTTCAGTCCTCTTCTCTCCAGATCTCTGAAAGTCAAATCCCAATTTGATGTTCCAGTCTGTCTTTTTCAATCAAAAGTTGCTATTCAGCTTGGCACCGGTGGCTCATACCTGTAATCCTAGCTACTCAGGAGGCTGAGATCTGAGAATCAATATGTAAGAGATAAGAGTCTTACAGACTCTTACAGACTCTTATCTCCAATTAATCATCAGAAACCCAGAAATGGTACTGTGTCTGTCTCACAGTAGAAGAGTGTTAGCCTTGAGCAAAACAGCTCAAGGATAGCTCGAAGGCCCTAAATTTAAACCTCACAACTTATCAAAACAACAAAGTTGCTGTCCTGCCTGGGGATTGGTTGTCACCAGTTCAGGCAGACCTACCCTGATTCATTCAGATGTGACAGTGAAAGTTCAATCACATTGTAGCTCTGCCGGGCAGCAAGGCCGCCAGCAGGGGCTCCCCGAGCAGGAGTGTGGGTGTGGCAGCCACTTAGTCCTGCTGATTTCTTTTTAATGACTGCATGGCATGATACCAGTGGCTGTTCTAGAATTTATGATCCCACTTCTGTGTTTTAAATTTAACCTTTCAGCTTGGAGTTGCTATGTGGAAAGTTACAAAGAGCACTTTTGTGGATACATCTTTTCTTTCATCTAGATGTAAAAATACCATCGATAATATTTTTATCTATGTAAAATACTTGTTTAGTTATATGGAGATTACATTATGTCCTGAGTACCCCCAGGATATAAAACATAACTTGGAAATTTGCACTATATTTGCTAGTAATGTGCACTTAGGAAGTTATGGGGAAAGTAAAGGATCTGTTATCTGGGATTTGCATCAGAACACTTTAAGAAGCCAGTCACCAGTGGTTCACATCTGTAATCATAGCTACTCAGGAGGCTGAGATTTGAGGATCTTGGTTCAAAGTCAAGCCTAGGCAGGAAAAGTCCATGCAATTCTTACTTCCAATTAACCAGCAAGAAGTTGGAATTAGAGGTGTAGCTCAAGTGATTGAGCACTGGCCTTAAGCAATAAGCCAAGGAGCAGGACCCAGGCCCTGAGTTCAGTCCTAGTACCAGAACAAACACTTAAGGGGACAAAAAAAATTGGCAGTGGGTGATAGCTGGAGCAGAATTGGTCTTAAGTTGATGACTGTTGGGACCAGTAATGGATGGGGGACCGGCTACTCTGTACTTTTCTTCTAGATTTTTGTTGTTTCCTCGAGAGACACGGACGGCATCCACATGCTGTCCTCTGGAGTTTCAAATGCTTTCCTCAAGCTCACCTACCCTTGATTAACTACTTTATACGTTCCTTTCCCTTCTTTACCAAAAATTCAATAAAGTCTACTCATCTACCCACTCACTGAGCAATTGATTCACATAAAATAATTAAACCTATATACTGAGCATGACACTCAAAAAGGTGTAAAATGGCTTGTTTTGTTGAAAGGAATGAGATCACAGTTTACTTTTACCTTGAGATAAAAGACAGGCGACCATTTGTGTAATCATAGCATGTTAGAATTGGTTGGTGAGCACTGGGAAATGCACAGGGGTCAGCCTGCAGAGCTGGAAGAGGTTCTTAACTATCTGCCTCCTTCTCCTTGCCTTTTTGCCTTGTATTTTCTAGCCTTTTGGCATTTTAAATTAGAAGCTACATTCTAAGTTCTTATTTGATTTATAAAAGTGTCTCAAAGGCTCAAGGAAATCAATGTTTTATATTCTTGTCCTTTTCTTTTTTCTTTTTTTTTTTTTTTTATAAATTTGTCCTTTTCTTTTTTAAGGAAAAGTCTTACTGAAAAGCTCAAATTTCTTTTCATTTCCCAAGACATTAGTAGACTATAAAATGTGTGTGACTTAAGTGAAATTTCAGGGTGATGGTTGTGAGGTCTTTCTGATTTTATAAATCGTGGTGAAAACGTCCAAGTCAAGATGGTTCTGACTCCCTGGCAGAGAAGGGAAGTGGTAAGGCCCCAGGAAGGACTGCTTTCCCTTGGCTTCCTGTGTCTCATAGTGGTTGGGGTTTTCTTAGAGCTCCCAGGACCCCCTCCATGTACCCCTACACCTGTATTTGATAAGTTGTAGTAACAAACAAGTAAAGACATATCTTCTTTACTAGACTGTGAGACTATGAGCTTCTGTAGAAGAACAGAGTTTCTGGGTTTTTCAATGCTTAGAATGCAGTTGGTGTAAACTGAAAAAAGACTAAAAGATTTTTAGCTCATTTTTTTTCTAACCCCCTATCCTCTCCCTCTTGGACTCCCTCCTTCTTTGCATGACCCCCCTGCATCCCCTGCAGTGACCATTCTTCATTATCTTGATGAGATAATAAGATGATAAGACCTTCAAGAAACTTGTCTGACAGAACTTCAAAACCCCTAAATCATTCCCCTATAAGAGCCTCTGTTGCAGAATGGGGTATTGGTTCCAGGTCACCCCAAAATGTCTTCTATCAGCTTTCCCTTCCCAGAACAGGATTACTACCTTTAAACTAGACCCATTCAGAGCTTTGTTTTTTTTTTCTTTTTTTCAATGTAAGAGTTGCAGTATTTCTAAGCATAGGTTTATAATAGAAATCCACAATAATCAAGCTAATAGGAATTCCACTGTGAGCACAATAGGTCGGCAATGTATTTATTATTAGGCTAGCAGGGTAATGGGGTGGGGCATAGCTGTATTTGAGCCAACTTTCCATGACTTTTTTTTCCATGGGCCTCTGTAGTCAAACTCCAGAGGCAGTGGCTTATGATGATTGGTTGGTTTGCCTTTATAAGGGGTGGGCTGGGGTGGGTGGGGAAAAGCTAAGCAAAAGAAATAACATGGAGTGTTCTGCAGCTTCCTTCTGAGCCTTCTTACAGGAAATCAGGGCAGTTTGCCTGATCTGTTGTAGTCATTTTCTCGATGTCAATGTTATTAGAAGTCAGGATATCTTTTAGATAGGTCACTGTTTCTGGAGGGAGATAAGGGTTTCTTCCCAAGATCCAGACATGATCCAGGTGAAAGAGCCAGATGATGGTGGTACAGGAGTATACGAGGGCGTAGTTCTCGTAGTCGGTGGCCAGGATCCAGTATGGCGAGGATGGCATCACTGAGAACCAGGGGAAGACAGCATGAGAAAGGACCCAGGCAAGAGAAGCCACATCTGCAGGATAGGAGCCTATTGTTTGTGGTCAGGGGTTATTAACTGGTTTTTACAGTGGAATCATATGGGGCCTTTAAGAGATACTAAGCCCACTTTCCTGTACTTCTTCCTTAGTTTCAGATCTGCAGATGGTTGGTACTTTTAATGGCTCCCCAGGGATTCTAATGTTTGGCCAGCATTAAGAGCCATTGTTACATCCTCCTTCCTGGTAGAAGAAGGTTTCTTGGGGACAAGTAGGGGGTTCAGGTGTATCCAGTGGACCAGTGCACATGGAGTTATCACCTAGCCAAGTGAGTAAAGAATATAGGGCTAGGGCCCCAGGATTTCAGTGTGTACCACCCAACTTTTTCTAGAATCTACCTGAGGGAGAAAGCAGAGGCTGATTTTTTTGTCCTTTCTGTATGATCCCTGCAAATCTTCCCACTCTTAATGTGGTAAGCCAGTTGGTTATGGTTTATAAGTTGTTTCTATCACAGTAGCCATAAAAGTTTCTCAATTGATATCCATAATGTGTGGAAACCCAAAGATTAAAGGGCACTCTAACTGGAGAGATGGAGAAATTACCCTATCTGGATCTAGAAACTTCCTTTGCGAATGGGCTTCTACAGTGGAGGCCCAGGCCAAGAAAGATTCATAGTCTAGCCATGGAAAAGGTACGAAGCAGAAGCTGTATGTTGTCCCCTAGAAATTCCAAATGGCTTTTCTGGGGGTGATTTACTTTCCTGGGTTTCAAGTAGCCTACTTCCTCCACTAAAAAATATCTCTCCATTATGAATGACCTGAGAAGCTAGTCAGAGTTTGGTCAGATGTTCAGGACCCAGATGCTTATCAGGAAATACAAGATACTCGAGGGCCAGCCATCAAAGCTCCTTCCTACCTTTTACTCTTCATTTATAAATACAGAAACAGAGGATGCTGGGAGGAAGCCAGCACTGTCGGTGCCCTGCCTGCCTCACTCACAAGGGTGGGAAGTCTATACCATCACACATCTGTCTGTGAGGCTCAGCTGCTCTGCATGACCCCAGTTGGAAAAAGTCTTGAACACTGCATGACTTGGTAGGGAGGGGGAAATGTTTTTGTTTCCTATCTTTTCCAGCAGCAAGAACATATACTACCTGCACATTCCCATTCTGTCTTCCCCTCACAGAGTATTAACTCTCAAGAATATGTTTTTCCAGATAGTTCCTTGTAATACAGAAACCTTCCTCTCTCTCTATTGACACTTACAACAGAGAGCTATGTCAATATAGGAGACATTGACAATCTCTTATTACAGGCATTGATTGCAATGTGAACTCTCTCTCATGGCCCTCAAGGGCACCCTTAACCCTTTCCCTCACTCTATGCAGCCTCTCTTGCTCTGGCTTCTTTATCCAGGCAGCTCCCATACCTTTCCCTCTACTTAGACCATTCATTCCCATAATCCCCCCTATACTCTGCAAGGCCCAGTGTAAATATCTAAGTCCTCCAGCCAGAATAAATCCTCCTCATCTTCCCCAGGAAACAGCTCAGGCCTCTGTGAACTCCTGTTCCAATGTTCCTTATGAGGATGGTGCAAATGATATTTGATCTTCATTCCATTCCCCAAGTCCTTCCCCATCTTTTTATTGAAAGAAACTCACTTAAGAGTTTGGAGGCATGGGAATGAAGTCCAAATCTACCTCTAGATAGTTCAGTAGCTTCCCTCATCACTCAGCTCTCCTGTTCTTCAATTTCTTTGTAAAAATGACAAGAACTAATTTGAATAAATGTGTACAGAACATGCACTATCTAAGTTTCTCTTCATGACACTGGGAAGATATTCCTAGTAGGTAAATGTGAAGTTATTTGCTCAAAGTCATATGGGTGGGAAGTGCTATTTTCTCCTTCCAACATTCCTTCCTTAACATCTTTTTCTCTAGACTTCACTGGTGTGTGTGTGTGTGTGTGTGTGTGTGTGTGTGTGTGTGTGTTTCTTAAGGGTGGTAGGGTGGTGGGATAGTGATTTCTCTTGCAGCTGGTGACTTTAACATCTGCTATGAAAGATGGAGAAGGTATCCCAAATACTTTCCAGCATTAGAAAACCTCACTGTTCGAAGCTCAGCTCTCCAGTTTGTCTCCAGGGACATTGTTCTATCCCTGTTTCCTGTGTCCATTCTCCAGTTATCTTAGAATCCAGGGCGGATTGTGATTACATCTCTCTTAGAGTCCCAACAACGTGACTAGAAAGTGGCAGTGCCAGGGCTCAAATTTGCCTTCATTCTTGCATCTCTTGCCTCCCATAACAGATGTTAGTTGTTCTACTCACACCTTCTAATTTGGGGTCTTCTGTTCCCCTGAGAAGTAACACCATAATAGGTCTCCCACCGCTTGTGCCACATACGCTTCCCTTTAGGGCTCATCTGAAGGAACACCACAGATCATCCTATGGTAAATCTGGTTGCAGATCAGCAGCCTACTGGGATGTCCACTTACGAAGGACAAGGCCAGCTTTGTCGTGCACATCATTTCATCTCAGGGCCTAACCCAGTGTATGGTATGGAGTGTGTACTCAAATACTTGTGTATTGTGCCCTGATGGATGGCACTCCGGTGTGACAAAAGTCCTTCAACTAAGGTATAGACTTCCATTTGCATATGCCTATGCCTTAAATTTCCTGAGAAAAATGGATACTTACACTGGTAAAACTTAACTCCCAGCTTGGCTGGCTCTGTAAGGTTGCTCTGGGTAGCTTCACCTTCAATTTGGTTCACCGTTCCATCAGGTCTGTAATAAGTGGAAAACAAAAGAGAAAAGAAAAGAAATGGAATTTAAATGAAGGAAAAAAAGACAACTCATTGAAAAGTCAAGATTTATGCCTTTCAAGGAACCATGGTGGCTAACATGGTGATTTCTGGTATAAGGCTCTCAAAAGCAGTCCTGGAACTGGATACTAGTGGCTCATACCTATAATCCTAGCTACTCAGAAGGCTAACGTCTGAGTCTTGAAGTTGAGACCCAGCCTGGGCAGGAAAGTCTTATGAGATTCTTTTCTCTAACTAACCACCAAAAAGCTGGAAATAGAGCTATGGCTCAGGTAGTAGAGCTCCAGCTTTGTCCTATGTCCAAGCCCCAGTACATACATACGCCACACACACACACACACACACACACACACACACACACACACACACACACACACGCACGCACGCACACTTTGCACCTTCCTTTGAGAGACCAAGTGGGAAAAGGCAGCACTCAGTGATAAGAAGTAACTATGGAAATGGTCTGGATTTCGATAATTGTTTAGGCCTTTTTCCTTCAACGCTGTTCTTTTGGACCATCTGTCATTTGCTTTTCAACCCATTTCCTGCTCCCAAACTCTAAAGAGAGGGGGAGCAAAATAGAAGAAAAATGTGGCAAAATAGCCCAACACAGAGAGAAGATTCACTTCCTCACAAATGAGAAAGAGTCAAAGGAGGAAGCTGACCAGTGAAAATAATGCAAAACATCCAGGGAGTCTGGAGTTGCAGATGCTTTCCTCTCCTTGGGTCTCAGTGGTGTCATGTCTCATCAAGGGAGCTGAGCTCAGAAGCCCATACCAGTTAAGCAAGCATCCAAGCAAGTATGGCAGATTTTGATGTGGACTAGGTAAAAACAAGCAGTAGAGAGACATGGACACTGACTTAGTGGTTGTCAGGTGATTCTAGACCTTGCACATTACAACATGTGTTTGGTTAGGCTGATGTCACTTAAGACTCACCCCTGGAAGTGCCATTTCTTTCTTGGTGGTACATAAAATGATGACCCTTCTTAAAAGTGATAGTCTTAGATTGAATACAATACTTGCACACTTTCAAGGGAACCTGGGACATTTCTGGTTAACTCCCAATGACCCCATGATCCTGTGGGGAAAGGAGAAAGGCCTGGACATGGGGGTAGAGAAGGGAAGTGCTCAGGTAGCTGAAGACCCTTCTTAGGAGGTAACAGAGGAGCTAGCTGTCCATCAATCCTCAAGCAAGCCAGCTAGATTAAAATGAAAGTAATCACATGTTAGAAGGCCAGCAGGTTAGTGCAGGTTCGTGATGATAGATGTTCTAGAAGACAGACAATAAGCAACCAGTAAGGAAGCTTGGGAAATGTGCTCTCATATTCCTGGCTGTATTGTCTGTTTGATACCAGGGGCTGAAGAGCATGCCCTGCTCTCTCACCTGGAACTCAGGCAGCTATAATACTGGTCTGTTTCTCTCTGCAGTCAGTAACTTAGCAACAACTCACTCTCTTTCCAACACAGTCCTTCCCTTTTTGCCATCATTTGTATTTTGTTCCACACAACAGTTTCCAAAACACCAGTCCTTGATCAGAAATTCACAACTTACCAATGGAAAAATGCATTTGTATTTGCAAAGGTAGTAGCAGCTTAGCCCTAAAAGGTCAAGTTTATTCAATGATTACGACATGCCGAACACTGTCTTAAGAGTTTTACATGTGTTTCCTCACCTAATGCTCAAACAGTCTCATGGAGGAGTATTTTATTATTACCTACAGGATAATCCTAACTAACCTATGATCACATACTGAGTGGCAGAACTAGGATGTAATACAAGGCAGCTGAACTCTAAACCCACAGTTTCTCTGATTCTGGCTGAGAATTCCCTTGCCCAGATTCCCTGCCACACCTTCTCATCTGGTAGCCATCCTAAAAGGAGAAGCCACATCTTTTCCTGAGCTAATAAGCTTTGCTCCACCTACTCTGTGTCTCAAACAGGTGCAGTCTTAGAGGCAGAGCAGCCCAATACTCAGGGTATGGTTAGAAGGCCCTAGCCACTCCAAAAGAGATGGAGAAATAGAAGGAGAAATCTCTGATTTGTGGTCTTAGAATGGGAAAAAAATACTTAAAATAAGATCATTACAACTTGGTTGCCTACTTTGATTTGAATAAAGGTCCTCTAATGTCCATGTTAAAGGCTTTGGCCTTAGGGTGGTGCTATTGGAGGTGCGGGGTTGAGGGGACTTTTGGAAGTGGAGCTTAGTGGGAAGTCCTGGGGTCACTAGGGTGTGCCCTCAAGGCAATTGTAGGACCCTGGTTTCTTCTGATTTCTCTTTTCTGCTTTCTGGCTCCTGAGGGGAGTGGTTTGCTCCACTCCCACCATGATGGGTCACCCTTACCTGAGGCTTAAAGGATGGGGTGCTGGATCTCAGACTGGTACTTCCAGAACCATAAGCCAAAATAAACCTTTTCTCTTTCCAAGCTAATTACCTCTGAGATTTCACTGTTACATCAAACAGCTGACTAATAAGGGCCTATGAAATTCCTGTGAGATCTCTGGTAACTGCATCTCTATTCTTGCAGCCCTTTCCTGAAGTTCTGAAATGAGCTGGACTTGTTCTTTTTTAATAAACATCCTTCCTTCACTACTCTGATTTATGCAGGAGTACAGGGTCAGCTGTTAGACAGGGAGGTTGGTGGATAGTGGATGGCCACAGAGAATCTCTGTGAGCCTAGGAACTCCACATGATAGTAGTTGTTTTCTTGGTATTGAACACAGTTCTCCAAACCTATAGCAAACAGGAAGGACAACCTTTCCCAACATTATCTTGCACCTGTCTTCAGTTCTCCTCTCTATTTCATTTCTCCTGGATTCAAATGCTAGCTTTTGTTTTTTTTTAAATCATTTATCCACTGTGTAGTAGTTAACTTACTTTTCTCTACCTAAGTTTCTTCATCCAAACAAATAGGATTAACAATAGTTCTTACTTCAGGGTTATTATGAGCATTAATGAGCATGTATTAATTTGCATACATGCACACATACAATAGTATCTTGCACATAGGAAATACCTAACGTGTTTGTTGATGCTGTTACCTTTGTGGACAGAAGGTGGCTGGGAAGGACTTCTTGGTGCTGTTTAAGTGTATATTTGCTTCCCAACATGTAAATATTGGCTCAAATGTCAGTGCTAAAAGCCCTCAATAGTTGGGTGAGAGTGGCTCATGCCTGTAACCCTATCCACTCAGAAGGCTGATATCTGAGAATCACAGTTTAGAGCCACCCTGGAAAGAAAAATCCTGGAGACTCTATCTCCAATTAACTAGCAAAAAAAAGCTGGAAGTAGAGGTGTGGCTCAAGTAGTAGAGCACCAGCTATAAGTGAAAAAGCCAAGTGAGAGCACAACATGCTTATTTCAAGCCCCAGTATTAACACACACACACATACACACACATCTTAGTAATCAAAATGCATACTCCTGAAGGATCCCCTGTTTGCATAACCTAGAGTGAACATATGTGTATATAGGAATTTGATTCTTGCCTTAATGAAAAGAGTTTCCTAACATGTAAATCTGCCCAGAGACAGGATAAACTGTCATGGGAGGTGAAATGTTCCCAGTTCCAAGCAAAGCTGAAGGTTTTTGTGAGCAGATTCAGAAAGGGCTTGGGGACCATTGGTACAAGGTGGTCCCAATGTCTTTGGTACCAGTGCTTCTCATAGTGAAGGGTACTGTTGAGACCTTAGTGCTTCTCCTAGGGCATGGTATTCATCAGTGCCCAGCAGGTAGCTAATGAAATAAATGACTGCATTTTAGTCCTGAGGCATGCTTATCTTCTCCCTGACTCCAATTACACAGGTACCAGTCACCCCAGGCCAGCACCATGCCCGGACTCTGTGAGTAGTCTCTTACCTCATCTCCTGGTTTAGCACTTTGATGTTTCCATTTCCCTTTAAAGAATAGTTTGCTTGGATGCAGTTTCCTTTTTCAAAGCTCACTGGGATCTTCTCAATTTCATACCATCTTCCAAGATACTGTGGAGACAACAAATAGAGCAAAACTCTGGGTCTCACCGGGGACCTGCGAACTCTATCCTGTTGTCCTTTAGAGCAAAGCCCTTTCCTGGGGAAACCAGCAAAATAGGCTGCATTGTTCCCCGTGTAACTGAGCAAGACATTGATTCAAATGAGAACAAATGAATGGGATGTGTGCTGCTCTGGTTGAATGCTACATTCTATTCCTGAAGGGCTCTTTATTTAGGTATGTTCTCAATGTCCTCTTCAGTCAAAGCCTGTGTGAAATTCCAGATCCTAAAAAGGAAGGGATTAGTCTAGATGTTGGAAAAGAATCTTCCATTTCAAAGGTTTCAGGATTTTACAAAGCATCTTTGAAATTTGTGCAGTCAGACATGTTGGCTGTAGGGCACTAGGACTCAAAGTTGGTTGTGACCCTGCACCAGAAGTTGGCCACAAAGACTTCCGACAGGTGCTCAGGATTCAGATGACATCCCTCTGCAGGACCTTGTTCTCCATCCAGAACTTAGAAGTATAGTGTTGTCTTTAAAGAAGCTGCCACTCTGCCCGTAAGGGCCAAGGGACCCCTCATACTGTTAAAAAATGCCTAGCATAGACAATACCAAGTTATAACTTCTGTGGAAGGCTGTTTGGCAACATTTAGCAAAACTAAAAATACACTTTGACCTAGCAATTTTACTTCTGGGAATACATTTTTAAGATTATTTGTTTCAGTACTGTTTGTAATGAGAAGAGACAGGAAATGGTCTAAGTGAACATAAATAGAGTGCTAGATAAATAGTACATTCATCCAAAGGAACTTTATACATCCTCTTTTTTTTTTTTTTTTGGTCAGTTGGGGCTTGAACTTGGGCCTGGGTGCTGTCCCTGAGCTCTCAGCTCAAAGCTAATGCTCTACCACTTCTTTTTTTTTTTTTTTGGTCAGTTGTGGGGGTGACCTCTGGGCCTGGGCGCTGACCCTCAGCATTTCAGCTCAAGGCTAGCACTTTACAACTTGAGCCACAGTGCCACTTCCAGCTTTTTCTGCTTATGTGGTGCTGAGGAATCGAACCCAGGGCCTCATGCATGCAAGGCAAGCACTCTACCACCAAGCCACCTTCCCAGCTCCATGCTCTACCACCTTAAGTCACAGTGCCACTTCCAGTTTTCTAGTAGTTAATTGGAGATAAGAGTCTCACGGACTTTCCTGCCCAGGCTGGCTTTGAACCACGATCCTCAGGTCTCAGCCTCCTGAGTAGCTAGGACTAAGGCTTAAGACACCAGCACACAGTTTTGCATCCTCTTTTAAATGACTGATATGCAATTATATCTCAGATATATTTAATGAAGAATGGTAAAGAGCTAGGTACAAAATGATGTAGTAGCTATATCTAAGCTACTTTTTGTGCAAAAATAGAGGAAGAGGTTATGATATTAGCTTTCTATTGTGGCATAATAAATTACCACAAGCTTAAAACAACTCAGACTTATTATCTCATAGTTCTTGTAGTTCTGATCTCAGCTTCATAGACTAAAATGGAGATGTGGGCCACATTCTTCTCTGGATGCCCTAGGGGAGAACTTTGCTTTTATCAGGTTTAGGGGTCACCTGCTTTCTTTGGTTTTGAACTCCCTCCATTTTCAACACCAGCCAAAGTAGATCAGATTCTTTTTATATTGTATCTCTGATGCTTTTTTCTTTCTCTGACTCTTAATACTTCATCAGATCTCTGTTTGATCACAGCTCAGAAGGGTTCTCACATTTAAGGGATTACATGGTTAACCTGGAATAATTCAAGCTAATTCAATAATAATAATAATCACAATAATAAGTGGCCAGATTAGCCTGAGTTTTATTATTGAGCCACATCTACAGAATCCCCATTTCCACATAAAGGAATTTAGCCACTGGTTCCAGAGTTTAGGGTGTGGCCACTAGAAGCCACTATTCTGCTTTCTATAGGTATACACATATTTTCTTGTTTGTGAATACATTGTTTCTAAAAATATACATAATCCTCTATTCTTATTGGTTATTCCTGGGGAAGGAAATTGAAGTACAAAGGAAACAGGAAATTTTTTTATTGTGTATTCTTCTGTACCTTAAGTTTTTTTGGTTTTGCTTTATGTTTCTATGAGGTGCTGAAAGCAAGCCCAGAGCCTTATGCCTGCTGGGCTAGCATAGTACCAATAAGCCACACCCTCAGCCCTCTTCTGCACCTTTAGAACTTTAAACTATTTGAGTATACTTAGCTAATCCAATATTAATTGAAATTATTTTAGAAATTTTAAAGTACTTTATTATTCAACAAAGCAAATAGAAATGAGCTCATCTTCAGAATGTCAGAATGAGACTGCAAACAGGAGGCAGTTACACTGCTTCCTGTCCAATTTCACACCTGCATTTCCTGTGCACCTTTACATACCCTCATTATCTACCCACATATACCCACATTTATGACCACAACTGTCCACTCATTTGTTCATGCACAACTATTAAAAATGCTGAACTTTCCAGGTGCTAGTGGCTCATGCTTGTAAGTCTAGCTAACTACTCACACCTATAATCTTAGCAATTCAGGAGGCTGAGATCTGAAGATCACAGTTTGAAGCCAGCTCAGGCAGGAAAGGTCATGAAACTCTTATCTCCAATTAATAACCTACAAAACAGAAGTGGGGCTGTGGCTCCAAGTGGTAGAGTGCCAGCTTTGAGGGAGAGCTTAGGAACAACACTCAGGTCCTGAATTCAAGCCCCATGACTGATCAAAAAAGAAAAAATGCTGAACTTAACATTCACTTAACATAAAAAAGTAAAGCTAAACTGGCTTCATAGATGTCTTCAGAAGTAGTTCCAATTTATAATACATTTAAAACAGCTTTAGGGCTGAAGTTGTAGCTCCTGTGGCAAATTACCTGCCTAGCAAGCTGAAGTCCCTGAATTTAAATCCCAGTATAACCAGGGAGGTGGGGGGAAGGGAGGGAGGGAAGGAAGGAGGCAGGCAGGCAGGCAGACAGACAGGCAGGCAGACAAAGAAGCAAGGGAGTGAATGGCTGGTTGTTCATTCCTACTAGTCCAGTTACTCAAGAGGCTGAAATCTGAGGATCATGGTTTGAAGCTAGCTAAGGAAGATAAATACATAAGACCTTTATCTCCAATTAAAAAACAAAAACAGAAGTGAAAGTGTAGCTTACATGGTAGAGCTCTAGTCTTGAGTGAAAAAACTAAGTAAGAGATTGGAGCTCTAAGTTCAAACTCTAGTGCACACACACACACACACATACACACATTAGTATTTTATAAATACTAATCAATTATAATTTCCAAAGCATCTTGGGCCTTTCAACCTCAAAATTGAAATAAAACTTAAATTCCTTGGATCTTTCATTGTGGTCTACCAAGTTTACCTAAATAAAGGATCGTCCCTTAAAATACTAATGGAGAAAGTCACTGTAGGGTTCAGTATAGATCTCGTTTTCCTAACCCCACTTGTGGGAGCTCCTTCAACACTGAGGATACTGCTTCTGCCCCCTCAGTCTCTAGCCCCTCTTCTCACATTTTGACTCATTCCCGTATACTTCCTGTGGTATTAATCTTGACTGTTAACTTGGTTGGATTAAGAAACACCTAGGAGCCAGGTTCCAGTGGTTCACTCCTATTATTCTAACTATTCAGGAGGCTGAGATACAAAGATCATAGTTCAAAGCAAAATATCTGCAAGGTCTCATCCCAACAGAAAAAGCTGAGTGTGGTGACAAGCACTTGTTATTCCAGATGAGACAGCAAGTTTAAATAGGAAGATTGAATCCGAAGCTAGCCCAGGCAAAAAAAAAAAGGAAACCCTGTCACGAAAATAAAAGAGCTGAAGGCATGGCTCATGTGGTAGAACACCTGCTTAGCAAATAAGAAGCTATGCTTGAGTTCAAACTCCAGTTCTGTCAAAAGAAAAGGAGATTAATAAAGTACTACATTGGGTGAGTTTGTGTGGGGGTTTCAGAGACAATTAGATCTTAAGGGCTCTGACTTAATCAATAGACAAGTCTCTTGATGGATTCATAATAGGATGACATTATTGGGAAGTGTTGAAAGGTTGGAAGTGGGTCTAATTGGAAAAAATGGGCTATGGGAGAATGTTCTTAGGTAGCTTTCTCTTGCCCTAGCTTCTTCCTCTTTTATTTCTTCTGCTCCCTGGCCACCATGACATGAACTACTCTGTTGTGCCACACCCTCCCTGACTTGATGGACTGACATTTTTGAAACTAGGAGCCCAAAGAAACCCTTTGTCCCTTAGGTTGTTTCTGTCAGGTATTGGGACTATGATAATGCAAAAGTAACTAAAATTGTTATACTGTGTGACCAATAATCGTTCATACTGAGGGCCAGTGACTGATAATAACTTCAGTGTTACTCATACCCAGGGTGTTGCTTCTTTTAAACAAATAGAGAGTTCGACTTTTGCCACACCTTATTCACATCAAAATTCTCCTGCACCGGAGGAGTAGGGCATTTTCCAAGATGGAATGCTTGACCCTGGGCCACAGCAAACAGACCCGCCAGTGGGAGCAACAACATCATCTTCATCATCTTGGGGTCTGGAAACAAAGTAGCTGAAGTTGTCTGAGCTTCCTGGGGACACACAATGGTGGAGAAAGATTCTGGTAAGTGCCTGGCTTTCAGCATATGTCCTTTTCAGTTCATGCCACCCCTCAGCCTGTGGGGTACCTGTGTGATCATCCATGACACTGTGTGGTCTTTTGAACCTCATTTGAATACCCTCAGCCCGTGTTTAGCTTGCTGTGTCCATTTGTACCCTACTCCCAACACATATGTATCTGCAGGATGGGCACCAAGTCTAGTTATCCTCAGAATTACTCTAGGGCCTCACGCTGTCAGACTCAATAGTGTGTATTTAGGGTGTGATGGGAGACAAACAAAGGGGAAGTGAAACCTTCCAACCACCTATGAAATAACAAACAAAAACAAATCTAAGTAAGGCAAAGCATTGAGCATCCTATGAGATTCCTAAGGGAAATGTCCCCAGCCTCCATACCCTTGAACCGTTCTACCAACCCCAGAAATAGATTTAAGACTATAACAGAGAACAGTATTCAGGGGAGAACAGGCTCAAACTCTTCCTTAGCCACCTACCAAATATAACCGTGTCCAAGTTATGACCTTGGTTCTTGGCCCCTAGAGTGGGAATGATAATCATACCTGGATACCTTATGAGTCTTTCTGTAAATTAAATGAAGCCATTAATATAAAGCCAGTGTTGGTGGCATGTGGGGTTATGGTGGGAGGATCTCTTGAGCTCAAAAGTTCAAGACTAGTGTAGGTGATATAGGGAGAGGCTACCTCATGAGAGAGAGACAGACAGAGAGAGAGAGAGACAGACAGACAGACAGAGAAATATGTATAATTTAATAAGTAAACTTAACAAATGCTAGTTATTGAAATCAGAGACAGTGTCATACTTTCTAATTTTTTTTGGGGGGGTAGGGTCGTGGAGCCTGAACTCTGGGCCTGGGCGCTATCTCTCAGCTCTTCAGCTCAAGGCTAGCACTCTACCACTTGAGCCACAGTGCCACTTCCGGCTTTTTTTCTTTTTGCTTATGTGGTGCTGAGGAATTGAACATGCAAGGCAAGCAAGCACTCTACCACTGAGCCACCTTCCAAGCCCCACTTTCTAATTTTTTAATATTGTGTTGAGGGCCTTTTTTTTTTAGGTGCTAGTCCTGAGGCTTGAACTTAGGCCCTGGATTCTGTCCATGAGCTTCTTCTTCTTCTCCTTTTTTTTTTTTTTTGCCAGTCATGGGGCCTGAGCTCTGGGCCTGGGCACTGTCCCTCAGCTCTTCAGCTCAAGGCTAGCACTCTACCACTTGAGCCACAGCGCCACGTCTAGCTTTTTCTGCTTATGTGGTGCTGAGGAATGGAACCCAGGGCCTCATGCATGCAAGACAAGCGCTCTACCACTGAGCCACCTTCCCAGCCCTACATGAGCTTCTTTGGTTTGAGGCTAGTACTCTATCACTTGAGCTATAGATTCACTTCTGGCTTTTGGAAGTTTACTGGAGAAAAGAGTCTTATAGACTTTCATGTCCAGAGGTGGATTCAAACCATGATCCTCAGATCTCAGACTTCTGAGTAGATAGGATTACAGGCTTAAGCTACCAGTGCCCCACTTGAGAGCCTTTTAATTAATTAATTTGTTTGTTTGTTTTTTCCGAGTCATGGGTCTTGAACTCTGGGCCTAGGTGCTGTCCCTGAGCTCTTCAACTCAAGGTGAGCAATCTACCACTTGAGCCACAGCATCACTTCCGGTTTTCTGGTGGTTAATTGAAAATAAGAGTGTCAGATTTTCCTGCCCAGTCTGGCTTTGAACCACGATCCTCAGATCTCAGCCTCCTGAGTAGCTACGATTACAGGCGTGAGCCACCAGCACCTGGCAAAGCTTTTTTAATAGATGATGAGCATTTAACTTTAGAAGGACTGTCAGCTGGTGTGTAACTGTGCAATGAGCATTGCAACTTAGAGATGCTGAGGAGGTGGGGAGGGGGCTCTGTAGCTGGAGAAGGAAGGGTGCTGAGGGCAGGTTGTGGGAAGCCTGGGCTCTTCTCTGCCCCCTTTACTGACTTGCCCTCAATCTGCTCCCTTCCTTATGACTCCTTGCCTGTAACTGCCCACAAGCTATTTCCACCTCTCTGCCTTTCTCTCTGTGATGAGATGACTGAGTCAAAGCAAGCAAAATGTTCTCAGATCTGAGCACTGAAAAGGATGTGTCACAACAGGAATAATTATAACTACTTCATTATGAGTCTCTGAACCTCCAAATAACTTTAATAATCAATAGCTTTTCTTCTGGAGGTTTTGTTGCTTGGGTTTCAAAAGAACAGTTATATAATGAGTAAGAGCTCAGGCGGGAGCTGCCAGCTGGTGTTGGTGGAGGAGGGAGGAATAGCTGCTGAGGTGCCCTCTATCAAGTCTGAATTGGGACCACCATTTTTGGTCTTGGAGATTCCATTGCCCACCAGCTTCCACTGCCATGTAAACAGCACCTGCTTTTTCACCTTTGGGAAGAGGGAGAGTTTGTTTAAATCCACCCAACTTTGCATTCATTTTCAAGGGATTCCTGTATCCCTAGGAGCTCTTCCCATCAGTCCCTGGGTATCAATAGCCTCCTGTCTCATAGCTTAGCATGCTCTTTCCCTAGGCAACACTAGGCCCATTTAGTAAAGGCCGTAAATGATTAGCCTCTACCCCACTTTTCCTTGAGATAGCACTCCTGTGGGGCAGCTATAATCATATAAGGCAGCAAGATCCCCTAACGCTCACAGGTCATATGGGTCACCTGAGAGGGCACGCCTTTGGGAGTGCAAGATTCCCAAAGTCTTGGAGTTTATAAAAATTCCCCTGAGACAATAGCCAGGACTTCCTCTCCCTTGTGAGAAGGGGTCTTGCCTGTCCCTTTACTGGCAATAAACCTTTTCTTGGTTCTTTGTACCTAGATGTCTGTGTTGTTTTCTGGCAAAGTCTAATTTACTCTAACATGAACCTTAAAGGGTAACACACAGTGTGCATCCTCTACAGGGTCTCTTTGCACTTTGAAACAATGATAATAGAAGTTCCATGTCTTACTTTGACAAATGTCTTATTACAAGACATTCTCCAGTAGGCTGAAACACATTTTGGGTGCGTAGGAGAATTATAGAACAAAGATAATATCCTTTAGCCATATCTCTTGCAGAGAAGCCTCATGGTTGCAAGAGGTTGGTTTCTATGGCTAAAACTCCTTCAGAGAGGGGAGGTTAATAGATTCCTAATTTCCTATGTCCCTTCTATTTTCCTTGCCTCAGCATTTATTGAATATATCATTAATGTATACATATGGGCTTGGGTAAGATATGAATTATTTATAAGCATATATTCTCATACCTTCTGATACCGTAGGAAGATTATCCTAATGAGTGTGACTTTTAAAAACAAATTTAAATTATTTTAGCCTACTCTCAAATAACTTAAGAGCAAACTAAGCACTGGTGGCTCATATCTGTAAACTTAGTTATTCAGGAGGCTGAGATCTGAGGATCATGATTTGGAGCCAGCCCAGGCAGGAAAGTCTGTGAGACTCTTATTTCTAATTAGTCCCCAAAAGTCAGAAGTGGGGCTGTGGCTCAAGTGGTAGAGTGCTAGCCTTGAGCAAAAGAAGCGCAGAGACAGTGCCCAGACATTGAGTTCCAGCCTCAGTAATGGCACAAAAATGACATAAAATAAAACAAATAACTTACCAGCGATTCTTCCAAGGCTGAGATGCATTTATCCAAGGCCAGGCTCTGAGTGTGGCCAATATTCACTGAGCCTGTCTGTGGGAAACCCTAGCCACAGTTCCTAGATGTGCTCTACACTAACTGTTCAGTATCTCCTTTGAAATTAACCTGCACTAGCATTCTCCTTGTACTGAGTGAGGTTAGTCTGCCCAGCTTCTTTCCTGACATACCATAAGACCAGAATTCAAACCTAAGTCTCCCCAAGGCTACCTGGGTATCAGTGTGGACCTCAGGGAGCTGTAGAACATTAAGACTAGATTTTGAGGTTTCTCACGATAAAATCAAATATGTTTCCCAAATAAATAAATCATAATGACTCATTTTAGTCTTCCAATCTAACAAGAACAATAGATTTCAAACAAAATATTCAACATTCTGCTCACCTGATTCCAGTTTTCACTTGGTTTTTTATAACCAGGCACTACGGGTTGTGTGCAGAGTTCATGTTCAGTCTGGTGCATGGAATTTTCTCATGGTCTTGTGTACTGGAGGAGGGTGTAGGATATGAGGAGACTTTGGAGTGAGTACAGGCCTGCTGCCTAGTGTATCCACACTTCTCACTTACATAGTATTTGTTTTATTATCCTAATTAGTTGTACCTTACACGGCTGAAGAAAAATGAGACCAAGTTAGTGAGGCCCCTGTACAAGCACTCCATGGGCTGCAAAGGGGCAGTGCAAAGCCATTCCCTGGTAAGCATCACTTGTCATAAGTAAAAACAAAACCACAGTACATACCTTTTGATCAAGATGAAAGCAGTTTCTGCATGCAGCATCAGCCACGTCAAGATGCCGGTCTTGGCGAGTGGCTTCTCCCAAGTCCTTTTATAAGCATCTATCAGGTCATTGACATTTAGTAGTCATGCCTGCCACACCCCCCACAGTTCAGGAAGGCCAGCCTAAAAGCCCAGCTCTGTATGAAGTACAAAGATGGGGTGTTCTATCTGTGCCCTTCCTCCAGTTTCCTTCACAGCTGCTCCCCGGAGAAGACACAATGAGATATTGTTTATGGATGTGAGAGAAAGACAAAGCACATCTTCATTCAAAACATCTTTTCTTTTTTGCCTTGTGGATTTTCTAATTTAATTTTTCCCCCATCAGAATGTACTTTTAAGTTCCTGTAAAATGAACTGTAGCATGTTTTCAAACATCTGGTATTTATTTTTCCTTACTTGTGAAAATGAAAAATCAACAATCTCATTTCCTGCAATGGATCAGGGATTTCACCCCAAGCCTGGAATGTAGCTCAGGTAACAGAGCC